AAAGCGCAAATATCGAAGCAACATATTTCAAAGAGCAAATACCAAGCCTATAGGGAAAAAAACAACTTTTAACTTTATTTATGAATGTAACTTTTATATTCAACAAATTTTAGAATCTAAAAAAAATGTAACGCTTGTTTCACGCAACGATTTGTATTTATATCATTCAGAGTTTGAACTGGTAAGCAAAACGCAACGGGAAATGAAATTGGAGTGAGTTTCATCATTATCATTATTTCTAGTCGAAACTTAAAAACCGTAACAACCACATCCGAAAATGTGTTTAGTACTGAAAAATACTGATGCACCGGTTAAGTTAATTTTCTGTCACAAAAACGGAAAAAAATAAAAGTAACAAAACTAATCTGCTCTAGTATTTGGCTGCATATATTTTTGGTGCTAAGCATAAATCATGTTCGATGGAATGAACTCGTAAGAATAAATCATTGTAATTTACGAACAATTTTGTCAATCACCGTAAAATATCAGAGCCAAAAGGTTATCCCGCAAAATATCTCCATTAAAATTAGGAGTAGAAAAGCTTACTTAGAAAATATTAGATTTTTTTTTTTTTTGTAATTTACATTATTAAGTAAATATTTTTGCTAACTGTTCAACATGAAAAAAAAATAGTATGTGTTAATGAAGGTAAAAAAGTTGATTATTATATTTGTTGAAAAGGGAACAATTTAACTATATTTTGCGGGAAAGTTTGGGCAGGAGGATCGTAGTGATTTCTTTATTTTATTTATTATGTGGTCACTCGCTAGACCAAAAAGGTTGAGATTTCAAAGACTTTGCAAAGCATAAAACAATGCTGTATAAAACAATGTTAATTAGATCTGCGCCTTTCAACCTAGGGATTAAGACTTCCAGGGGGAGGCGCGAAATTAAGGAACTAATATTTGTAAGGCTTCCGTGACCCAAACAATGGCAAGCTAAGATTTGTCTAAAGTATGATACATAAATTTATAATAAATTATAGTCCTTCATTTCTTATCAAAAATTTCTACTCCATTTTTAAACAGCTTCGATTAGGTGGGTCGCAAACACCATAAGCGCATCTTTTTATTAATTTTGGGGTCGCAAGACCAAAATGGTTGAGAAGTAACGGGTAATAATGGCATAATGTAAGTCCAGTGCTTAAAAAAACTAAAAATAATATCATAAAATATTTAAATACTAAAAGAGCTGTTTGAAGAAACCGAACTACACCAGCGACAGTGCGTTTACAATCCCAGAAACGATAAAAACGGTTTATTTTTGAATTAAAGTATGTTATATGCATTTTTTAAATATAATAATAAAATGAAGTACGTGTGTTATTATTTATATATTACATTTATCAATTCCATTAGAATGTGCATTCTGGAACTTAGTTCTTTTTCTTTTCACTTCTCCAATTATCTTTGCAGGGTTGATACTAATTTCACAATGGGAAAGAAAATAAGTTCAGCAATTCTAGATTACATGTTAAAGTTATACTGAACTAAAACAGATTCACAAAAACGTATTTCAAATCTAATAAAGAATCTGTAAATTTTTTATTTACGTCTTCTTCGTAAGCGTCATTTCTAGTGGCTGCACTGTGATGGTTGCAACAGTAATGCAAATGGCAAAAGGAGAATAAAATAATAGTAATAAATTTAAAATAGTATTAATCAATTCAAATGACTCTTTCGCGTCCTGAAATAAAATTTACCGTGATCAATCATTTTAATTTTAATTGTAGTGGCGAGTAGTTTTGAAGAAAATTTAATGTATTTTTTGTTCTAAATTTTTACGCTGTTTTGGTATTTAACATTACGTAGAACGAGTTAAATTTGAGTGATCTGCTAAAATTTTTTGTTTTACGTTGAATCATAATACCCTTTAAATCTATTGTTTAAACAATCAGAAGTTAATCATTTGATTTATAAACTATGAACTTATTACTTTTCTTTCATTTGTATCATATAAATTATCGTTGATGATGGGAACTATTAATAATATCTTATTAAAATGCAAAAAAGCGAAGGAATTTAGCGTTTGTAAACTTCAAAATATTTAAAGTATTATCGTAACATCTCGTCTTCGTAAAATTTTCAAAATTTGGGACGCTACTTGACAACTGTTTAGTTTAAAATTGCAGTTACAATAAGGATGGCAACCAACCTTTCTAAAGTGCAAATTGTTATATTTTTTCATTATCTTTACTCTTGCTCACTCTGCACGATTAATTGGTTAAATTTGAATCAAAAGATGAAAGGTTGATATTTTTACTTCGCAAAACTCTGTAAATTTGTGTTAAATATCGATAAAATTACATTATTGTAAACTATGCAATATCCCGAATCAATCAACTTTTTACATAAATGTGAGGCTAGTTTCGAAGTCCCAAAATTTTGTTGCAATTAACACAATAGCAAATTAAAATATTTTAAAGGTCGCAAAGTTGATATGATTGTTGATTTTGTATCGAGGTTCGGAATCTTTTTCTGAGCAAACATGTTTTAATATTTTAATAGCGTTAATATCACTTTTGTGATGATTTAAGGTATTTTGGTAATAATTCTTCTTTTTAAATAAAAAGAAATAAATTTCTAGCATTTACTGAAAGCTTATCTTTATTATGGTAATTTCCTCAAGATAGATATTTAGTTCTAAAAATAAAAATTGAAAGAGTCGCAAGCTACCGTAACAGACATGATACAATTATTCCAAAGAATATTTTTAAACAGGACATTTAAATAATTTATATTTTTACAAGATAATTCGGTATCTTTGAAGCAGATTTTATTATAATATAAACTCTTACAATTTAATCGAGTCGTCCGACAAAATACATCTTATTAAATTTGATAAAATGGAATACAAAAAACATTTTCAAAAATATCACATTTTGTTGATGTAAAGTTTAATTTCAAACGAGTAATAAATTTCATTACTTTTAAATTGCCTCAAAAATAAGAAGAAACTATTTTTCGCATTATTATCTTTTTTTAATTAGAATATCTTTATTTTTAAATTTTGAACTTATATTAAGAAAACAATTTCAAGTAATTTACCTATTCCGTTTTATTAAGGGCTAATTCATGAAATCTTATTCATAAAAAATATGTACTGGTTTCAATTAAATTAAAATATAATCACTTAAAATTAAAGAGAAAGTCAGCACTTGAATAGTTCAAAATAAGTTTAAAGAATTGCTTAATTCTAGACTTTATGTTAATTAATTTTATACAAATATATCCTTTTAATTTATTAAATGGCATTTTTTAAATATACATTATCTCAAATTTGCTAAATTAAAGTTCTTAACACTTATAAAAGAAATGATTTTAGGAATTTTTTTAATGTATAAACGCAATGCATTGCGGAAAAAGAGAAAAAGTCAATTTCAACTTTATTTGTTTCACACATTTAATTATTTTAAAAGAGTCTCTTTCACTACCGTTAACATAATATCACAAATAATAAACACACTTAATTCAACTTAGCAAAAGAGCACCAAACATGGTGTTCTGAAATTCTTGACATGCTTCTTTAGGCAAATGAAAAATCTGTTATTGTTAAGAACCTAGCTTATCATTTTTAATTTTGAACTTCAAGATTTAGAACACTGCAACTACTGAAACACATAAGTAAAAAGAAAAAAAAGTAATGAAAGAATATGATCTCGTAATCAATAAATTTTTTTAGTAATCATAAAAACATTGATGCTCGTTAGGAAGATGTAATAGTATGAGCGCATGAAAATTATAGAAATATTACTTTTTTATTAATGATTTTAAGGAATAATTAGCTTTGCATGTGACGTTACGATGGTTGCATGGAATTCAAAAGGTAGAAAAAAAAATCATGTTGCTATATATATGACTGTTTTAACAGTAAATAAAACTTCAATTTGATGTAGTTTCTGTCAAGTTTCATTTACAGAATTTCACTTATCAAAATTACCGAATTTTGATAACATTTTCGAAAGTTACATATTATTTTGCCAACTTCAGCTGAAATGTAATTTCAGCTATTCTTAAAAAAATGTTTTAAAACTGCTCAAAAAACTGTCAATATGTTTGTCCATCAATAGGCACTAAAACGTTTGAACTAATATTTATTCTGCATGTTAAAATTGAATTTTATTGAGACACTTAAGCACAAGCTTTGTCTGTAGAAATGTTGTTATTAACAATAAAATTAAACCGCATGTGCCATCATAATGAATGTTCAGCAGAGAAACATTTGTGAATGGTTATTCTTAAGTTGTTTTCAGCGCATCAGTTGACTAGATATTATTATTATTAGCAACATTTTAAGGGTATCACAAAAAGCTAAACAGACTAATAATTTTCATAACAAAAAATGAAGTCTATAGGAAAATGCATACATATTTTAAGCATGACTTTCGTATGAAAATCAATTCCATTGTTTTTCAGATGCTTTAAACACTACTGCATAAAATTCAAACAATAAACAATTCATCAAAATCAAAAATAATCAGTGTTGCAATGTCTTTCGAGTTTTGAAAACTATCGTGGGCCTCGAGGGAAATTGTTATTGAATTAATTTAAGCGAGAATTTCATATGATGCTATGAAAGTAAGTAGATTAAAAGACTCGCGTTTTAATCGATTTTAACTAATATATAGGAAAATTCATGACTATTTCAAAAACTTTAACCACCAAAATGGAATGTAAGACCATATGCATTTTCTTAATATAATAAAAAATAATATATCTGAGAATAATTTTTATTAAAATCACGATATAAAACACTTGAAGAAAAAAACTGAAATTATGCACTTAAAAGCTGCATAGCAATTTGAAACGTTATGGCTTTTTTAATCCAGGAAGAATTTTAAATTTTATTAAAAAATATTCGAAAGCTTTTGTGGTCATTATGTTTATAAATTAAAATACATTGCAAATTTCATTCGATTCTAATGGAATCGAAGGTTTCACCTTATGAGGAGAAGAAAATGAGAGCACAAATAAATTAGAAATGCAAAAGTAAGTACTTACCTTATAAAAAGACAGCATAACAATGCATACTACCAAGGCTGTTGCAGTGCACGTATAATGGGCGATTCCCATTCCTACTCACGAGACAAAATGTAGAGGATCACCGCCACCAATCACCTGCGAAGTACATGGAAATCCTTGTAATAATTACTCTCCACATAGCTTTTCAAATGTATCGGGGGTTTTTTGTCTTCTCTTATAATCCAAACAACACACTAAATAATTTCCCTTTTTTTGGTTAAAGTACTGTATCACTAAATAAAACTACATCGCTAATGATCTATCGTTTTTTCATTTGCAATAGGAAAAGAAAAATGTGCATTTCTTTCTTTTTTTCTCGATCCTGCAAGGTGAACAAAAAAATATCCCTCGGAAGATGAGAAGTGAAGTTTCGCATCCACCAACGCTTCTGCTGCTGACTGGGCTCACCTGAGAATCCGGCATGAAAAGAAGAGATGAGGATAATCACAAGGATCGAGAGGTGGATGCAGTGAGTGTGAGGAGGAGGGAAGATGATGCAGAAGAGCGCCTCATCACATTCCAACAATGAGATAATCCAGCATAGAGAGAATCGGTAGAGATGCCGACAAGAGCCACATCCGCACGGAGTCTCCCAGAGGGGTGCACCGCGTTGGTCGTTTCCATGGTAACGATAGAGAGTAAAGTTAACCTTATCACATCCGCTCAACACGACCGATGTGGCCGCTCTAGTGAGGGTGAATATTCGGAAAAAGCGCGATCGAACGCGGCGTCTTTTTGGCGGATAATACTGGCGCCAAATGGAGAGAAAAAGCCAAGATATTTTCGATTGTTTTGTAGAACTAGGGCCACATACATCTTAATACCTTTATATTATCGAAAATGTGTTCATGCACATTTATCGTAATTATGTAAGGACTGGTGATTAAAGATACAATATCAATATATTATGGAAAATGATGGATCATTGACATGTATTGTAATTATATGAGAACTGATTATTAATAATAAATCTTCAAAACCTTAAAATTGAAGAAAAAAAAATTATAGTAGAACATTAATGCTTACATTTTGTAATAATAATAGCATATTTTAAAGTAATACCTTGATGTGAAGATGGCAATGCTAGATGCAAACTTAAAAGCAATACAAAAATAAGTTTTCGAATTTGATTTAAAATGAGAATATCTACAACTTCAGTTATCCGTTAAAGTTTAAGAACAGCTCTTTAAAATCACAATGTATTGGAATGAAACAACATTTCTAAATAGTATTTTATCAATAATTTAATTAATGATTAGACTAATTGTAATCAAAATATTTTTAAATAAAAATATATAGCTTTTCATTAACATAGTACGAGTATATTAAAGTTTTTAATTGAAGTTTAGATCTGGAAATCATACAGGGGATCAAATATGAAGCGTGTGTAATTTGTTTTTATGAAATTTCAATATGAAACCATAGGAATCGGAACTGATTGTATATTTTGAAATATCATGATTTATTTGAGCACTGGTGTCGGGTCGCATATAGGTCAGAGGGGCCAACAAACTGTTTAAATGTATTTACATTCGATCCGTGATTTTTTTATTGTAACTCATTTTTAATTGCAATAGTTTCATATAAAATAATGCTGAATAATTAGATTAATGATTTTTTTTATCAATTCGCTAAGCAATGATCAAAAATTTTTTTCTTTTTCTTATCATAAGGAAAATTTGTGCTCGCTCATTTTCAGATCGCCAGTGAAGAATTGGCCCAGATCTTTACAAATTATGCCTTTTATGTGCCTGAAATATTTATAAATCGTGAAATACAAGAAACAATGAAAGTTTAGTTTCTTTTTAAACAAAAATATTTATTTTTCGAAGTAATGCATGCTGGCAAAATTCAAAATTAGAAATTTTACTTTTTTTTCTCTAAAATTATTGACCGATAACTCAGCCGATATGTAATTCGTTTTTTTTATTAGCCAAAGCATTAAGAAAACGTTTAATTTCTTTCTGTATCTCACGATTCAAAATTGCACTGATCATTATTAAATTAAATAATTTTAGAATTTATTTTTGCAAGAAATTATATTTTCGTAAATTTAAGAGGATACTTTCGACTGTTTACCTTCCTCGTCAATCTATTAGGATCAAAGTTTCCAAATCGCGACAACCCCTTTCCCTTATTTTAAGAACCACAAATCCGAATCCACTGGGAAAAAGATTATATTTGATAATAGAAACTGTGAATTCGTGTCTGGTTTCTCCACATAATTTATCAGTTGTACTGCCATTGTTTAAAAAATTATGTTTATTTAACACATTTTCGACCAAAGGTGCGCAATCGCACCATTGCAATAAATATTATTCTATCAACAGTGTGACGTATATTATTCACATATTTTATTTTTCTGCTATTGTCAAGAGCTATGCAAATATGTATAAAATATTAGTGACTCAATTGGAGTAAACACTTTTTATAAAGAAATTTTTAAACTTAACTTGAAACGCTTATCGACGAATTCGACATTTTGAAACTGCATAATTATTTCATTTGAAATTTATCATACGTTTTTATGAAATTACTAACCATATGCTGGATTAAAGTTGCAAGTTCTGTAAATAAAATAAGATAAAGCAAATTTCATAAAAGAAACTAATGTTTAATTAAATGGTTTGTCCATTGATTTGGTCAATTGTGCATACAAGCACCATTTTATTTCTCAAATAAAATATTATTTTTCACTCGCGAAATTTTTTTTGCTTCTTAATGTATGCAATTAACGAATATTTCCATGAAAATACCATCTTACAAAATTTGTATGCTTGGTCTGAAATGGTTTGAAAGAATAAACTTCTGTTTTCATAGCATAATTCATAATTCATTGGGAGTACAAACTAATTGGCATACCTAAAGGCTTTCATTTTAAGCTATTAAAATCTTAATTTTAATACGTCAAAGTTAGATCATTATATCAGAAGAATGGCGATCTCTCCATATTTAAAAATTGTAAGGAATACCAATATCGCCTCTCTTTTGAGTGTTCAATCTAAGTCTTATTGTTAAAACAAAATATATATTGTTAAATATATATTTTGTTTTAACAATAAGACTTAGATACTTAAAACTATTATGATGTGTAAAACATGTACATACAGGGAGTTCAATGGAATAAAAAAACTAATTTCGCTAGTTAGTTCGAGAATTAATAACTGTTAAATCAGATTTAATTTCTTAAAAATTATTGCAATTGGAATTCAATATGTGAAGCTATGTAATTTAAAATAGCAAAATACAAAATTTGTGTGAAATCGGTCAAATAGTTCCTGAGAAATCTATTTAAAAAAAAAAACGACTTTTTCATTAATACTATCTCTTAAGAACTATTATACCGATTTCCCTCATACTTTGTATTTGCCATTTAAAATTACATTTTTTAAAATGATGTAACATTACATTCTTTAAAAAGATGTAAAAATTGTATACTTTACAATTGAATTTTTTTCCTACTATTATTATGTAAAATAATAAAAAAATAATAATTATGTACTAAAATTTATATTTTGCAAGGATTTATCTTTAGGCAAACAAATTTAAAAATTTTGTAAAGCAAAATTTTCAACAAAGAAAAAAAAATTCTTGAGATTTGTCAAACTACGTAAGAAGTAAAACTACCATTAAGGTGTCCAAACTTTGGATCGCTCTAACTAAACAATGGTGAAATAACAAATATATTAATATGTAATATATATAATATATATGACATTAATATGTAATATATATAATATATATAACATTAATATGTAATATATATAATATTAATATGTAATACATATAATATTAATATGCAGAAATTAAAATTCGTCGAAATAAAGAAATGTCTCTTTAGAGAAAGTGCGTTTTTGGGTTTGATTTCGTAATTTAAAATATCGTATGCACTCATTAATTAACATATTTGAGGTCAACCTCTCGAACCATTTAGATTGAGCATTAGAACGTGAATATCCGATCTTTAGAGGATTAAGAAAATTCATCAAAAGTTATTCAGGGTGGTCCATTTATTTATTTTTTTTGCACTCTGTACATTAATAACTAAACATGGGGTTTTAAATATCCCCCTATCTGTAATTATAATAAGAATAAGTTATCGTAACAAGACAAAAATTATTAAACTGTTTCCTTTGGGAATTATTATTAATAATATTACTTTATGACCCGGTGGAAAATTTTTTTTGATACGTTTAAAGCTTGGCATTAAGCTCAAAAGCAGTCACTTAAAATGTTTTTGTAAATATGTTACGAGTAGATATGTTTCGTTGTTTATTCGAAAGTTAGACTGTGAAATTTTTATAAACATTGAAATTATAGTGTACAAGTGTCCAAGTTACGCCTTGTTTCCCTGTATATACAGAATATTCTGCAATGATCGTTGTTAATAAGCATTTTAAAAAACTTTGCAAACAATACATTTTTAAAATATGCATATAAGGTATAAAAATAAGTATTCTAAGAGAAAAAACTTTATCAAACTCTTAAGATTCGCTATTGAATTAAATAAAAGTAAGGAATTGAACACTAATCAAAGTTCCTCGGAAGATCTGAAATTCTTCCACTTGTCTATATACAGCATTTTAAAGCTTTATCCACAAACGAACCGAGTCTTAGAAAATTTTAGATTTCTTTTTGTTGTATAGATCGCTTTCTTCACAAATGAAGTTTGGATTCAATTATCATACTCGCTTTTTAAAGACAATTTATAGCAAAAATTATTTTCTATTATTATCCGAGTGTTTCTCAAAAAGTTAAACTGATTAAGAAATTATTTCACCAATTTCTATAAAATTTCGGATTTTTTTTATAAAATTTGAAGAAAAAAAATTAGAATATTTCTGCAACCTACAGTTAAAAAATGTTGTGATCTGTAAATGATATGCAATGATAACATGAAATAATATATAAATTAAGTAAATGATAAAAATATTAAATGACTTTAAAAAATTACTTTTTGCATGGAATTATGTATTGTCTAGACTCTAGATGAACGAGTTTTATAATTGAGGGCAAATATATTTTGATTAGCTTCAGTTTCTCCTGATAAGTGGCTAAGTACGAGTAAAGTAAATTTGCCTAAAATTTCGACCCTCTCATTTGACTGAACTATTGGAAAAAATTTTAGAGAATGCATATAATCCCCCTCTTTTTCTGTGGTGGCTCAGGGGATAGAGCTTTCGTCTTCTAATGAGGTGACCCAGGCTCGAATCCTAGTGGTGGCTGGTAGATATGAATTATGCTCTTGGCATCCGCTACCTAACGCAAAATATCCTCTGTGATGGACAAATCATGGGACAAATCACATCCCCTAGCCAATGGGCTAACCGTGGAAGGTTTTCGTGGTTTTTTTTCCCTCCGTGTAACGCAAATGCTGGTTAGTTCCATTAAAAAATCATTCAGGCTGGGTAGTTTGTCCCAATGCTTGATCCAGGAAATCCCTTGTCTTCTGGATTGGGTTCAAAATTACAAAGCTACGAAGTTGAATATTAATAGACGTAAACTCAGAATTGTGTCGGCTGTTCAACGCTTCAAAGGAAGGGGAAAAATAAAATTATCTTCTTTTGAGGGAGAAACATTCTAATACCTTATATTTTTGAAACCAAAATGTAAATGAGATACTTCGAAAGGAAAATAAGTTTTCTTGTCTGATTTCGTATCTTAAAATATCGTCTGTATTACTAAATTAGCATATAAAATTTC